CCCGGGCCAAACCTTCCATCCCTCCGGGGTCGGTTAATTGGTACCAGACTTGTCTGGGAGGATAAAAAACACTGACTTGAACATCGGCTGGCCCCCGCAAGTCATTGTATAGGCCACATCGCATTCAAACGCCACTGCGAATGTACAAATGGAAGTAGAATGCGTGCCGCATCCCAAAAAGGGATTGATCAACGGCAAATGCTTTATCCTTTATCCTTTATCCTTTTATAAGGGGCATCAAGTGCTGCCCTCACCACCCACCCCCCCCTAGACTGCCTACACTCCCCCTGGCGCACAGGTTTCTCGAAGTACGGGACCCGTGAGCCAGGGGGAGTGAAGCAGTCTCAGGGGGGTGGGGGGTGAGGGCAGCTACTTAGACGTTGCATCACAATGCCCCCCCCCCTTACCGGATGAGCGCCCTTTTTCAATTGCCCAGCGCTTGCTAAATTCGAGGGCGCTGCACTTTCAGTTCACTAGCATCACTGAGCTGTAGCTGTACATATGGACCCAATATCGATTATCATCACTTTTAGCAAATTCTTCTTAGTCATTGCAGTGATTCAGAATTGGTTGCATGCTTCGACAAAACGTCCTTCAATCCGGCAACATACGAAGCGAGTGAATGATGAAGTGGTGCTTGTGTCGCTCAAGGAGAGCTGCCAGCCTTGGTACAGGGCGCATCAATGCTGACGCGTGTTACGGTAACAGTGGATCCGCAGCCTGAATTGCAACGAACGTTACGACCGCACAGCAATAGATGCGTATCGATCGGGCGACGTGCGACATATGCGACGCCCGATCGTAATGGTGTCACATCGATACGTAATTCAAATAGACAAATAGTCCGCGGAACCGATAACGAGGTGAAGGTGCTGATACTTGGTTTTGGGGGGGGGGGGGCACGCGGCGGCGCGGCGCTCTGTTCGTCTCCTCCTCAAAAGGCTTAGTCCCAGGGGCAGTTACGGTGCTATACAAGTAATGTCGCCGCATTTTTTGAACAGAAAAGTATGTCAGTAGGACTGTTGCCCGCTGCTGTACTGTCACCAGAATCGGGGAATTCGTGAGCCAGGGGGAGTGTAGCCAATCTAGGGGGTGGGGGGGTGAGGGCAGCCACTTGACATGCGTGAAAAGCTGGACGTGCCCATCCCACTTGTATAGAGCCGCAGTTACTATTTCGCCATCACATGACAGTTTCGAAATAGGCGCCATTCAAGGGACTAAGCCCTCGCCAGAGAGGAGGCGAACAGAGACGCCGCGCGCGCGCGTGCTCCCTCCGCCCCCCGAACTACAAGGGAAGGATACCAGGTCGAAGTGGCCATTTGTAACGAGATATACACCACTAGATGTGTTTTTTTGGACGCTGATCTCGAATCTGTTTCCAAATCTGCGAAACGATTCTCTGGACGTAGTTATGAAGCGAGATAGTGCAGTGGCAGCGGCCCGAGCCGACGAGCAGAGGTCGTGAGATCGACTTCTTGGCGAGTTTCAGCTGCTTTTCTTGAAAACATTGTTCAAAGGACTTCTATGCATGCTAAATAATCAGCGACTGCCTATCCTATAAGTGGAAAGAGCTGGCAAAGAGCTTCGAACACTGTGCGCGTCATTTGCCGTGTCCTGTCGGTCGTGTGTGCCCACATTTTCGACTTTAGTCAAATTTTTGGATTTGGACCAAAAGTTGTCGGAAGGGGTAGTTTGATGCGCTGAACACGAAAGTCACACTTATTTGGCAAGAAAGTGCATGACGGATGCGCTACGGGTGCCAGAGACGGTCACTTGCAAATGACGCGTACAGTGTTCGAAGCACTTCGCGAGCTCTTCCACCTGTATGATAGGCAATCCCTGATGACTTAGCATGAATGAAAGTCCTTAAACAATGTTTTCAAGAAAAGCAAAAGTGAATTCGCCAAGAATACGATCCCGACCTCTTTTCTCGTCGGCCTGGGCCGCTGCCACTGCACTATCTCGCTTCATAACTACGTTCGGAGAATCGTTCCGCAGATTTGGAGAGCAGATTCGAGATCAGCGTCCAAAAACACATCTAGTGGTGTATGTCTCGTTACAAATGGCCACTTCGACCTGGTATCCTTCTCCTTGTAATAGTAGCACCGATGGGAAAGCCTACATCGCCGCGCGACACGGAAAAGTCGCATTTGAAATTCGCGCGCTCTACCGTGTCTGCGAGCAATTGACAGACGGCGACCGCGCCTGCGAATCTAATGCTTGGACGCGATCGATTATCACCGCAGCCATGAATTTCATCGTATCAGCGTTTCAGCGGCCGTAATGAAGGTGTGGCCGTCGGTCGGTGGGTGTGCGTCAGTTGCGGTGTCGCGACCGCTCAAAAGGGGTTCTCGTCGTCAGTCGTCGCCATCCCACGGCCCCGTCGTTTCTGTTCGTCCTTAATCTCCCGAAAATTGGGGTATTTACAAAAGTTGTTTTTATGCTAAGGCCCCAGAAATAAATCGCGTAAGAGCGATCAATTACGGTTCATAAGCAATTGCCTTTGCCAGAAATGAAGCTTTTTGCATGCTAACAAAGCAGGGTATCGATTTTCTTTTGAGCTTGTTCGTTGTCGCGTGACCTGCGCTGGTGGGTTAATTATGCACGTAACGACGAGTCAGGCAGGCTTAATGTGAACTACATGAACCTTTGTGAACGGGTGGGAATGTGCTGAAGGCTTAACGGAACGTGTCCATCGCTTATTAGAGTTTTTTAAGCCTCATTTGTGAAGTGTCATCGTTTGTTCATTGGACCGGAATGCATCTATCTCCTTCTCGTCAGAATCTTCGCAGTGGTGAGAGTTCCACTATCGCCTAGATTTTTTGATCCATTACAGCCTTGATTTGTTATCTTTTGTCTGGTATTTCCTGTTTGTAAAGGGTATTTGATCCGAGTTGCGTCTATTGTAAGGATTTCTCAAACGAATAAAGTTCTTTTGTCTTGAAATCTCGCCGATAGTGATTTTTCTTGCGCTATCGCAAGATACGGGGCATTGTGGCAGTGCGTCCAAAATTATGGGAAGGACCCCTTTTTGTTAAAAACAGAAGTACGCCAAGGGAGGGAGGAGAGACTCCAGAGTGCGTGAACAAGCTTCATTGTTCCCGAAGTTCTTAGTTTCTAGCTCTCCTAGAAAATGGGCAATCATAGAATTTCCAACATTCCTCACCCGATGTGATGAGTATGTCATCTCTACATTCCTTGGAATAAACGCCCAAGTGTTTCTTTTTATTAGTGATGTTGAGCGCTGTTTTTCTCTTCCGTTCACCATAGTTCTCTCAAAAGGTGCTGGGTTATGTTTTCAACGTCACTGCTGGAAGAAGAGTGGGCTCATTCATCCCAGAAACTGCTGTAAATTGCGTTGCCGTCAGGGTCAGCTCAGCATCGCCGGAAATTCCGTAGTACCCTTTTCCCATCTCTTTCTAACACCCTTCAGATAGATCTGAAAATGACTAGTTAAGACCCATAAAAGCAGTGAACGATTGAAATTCTCAATATTTTTCAAGAATGTCGTTGGAAAGATTCGGGTCTCATCCAGTAAGGGGGGGGGGCATTGTGATGCAACGTCTAATAGCTGCCCTCACCCCCACCCCCTGAACTGGCTTCACTCCCCCTGGCTCACGGGGTCCCGTACTTCGAAGAAACCTGTGCGCCAGGGGGAGTGTAGGCAGTCTAGGGGGGTGGGGGGTGAGGGCAGCCACTTGATGCCCCCCTTACTGGATGAGACGCCAAATGACATCCAAGCTTGCACTCCTATACGTTCTTCTATAAAATAATTCGAATACTCTCCTCCTACATGAAGGCCACACGACGAATACTTGACTATCGTTGCTGTAGCTACTGCTTTGTCTTGCTTAACAAGTTGACCACAGCCAGTTGTTCTTGTACTTAGGCGTCTTTTTCATATTTTTTGAAACATATTTCCGACTCCAATTAACTTCGTGCTGTATTGTTAGTTATGTTCCTTATGTACCCTTTGCACGTGTAAGACTGCCGGCTTCGAGCAAGTGAAAAACCAACTAAGTCTATGGATAACGGTTGATTCTCCCTGAATAAAACCGCGCGCGCCCGTGAGCGTCACGATCTTCCGTCTTAAGGTGTTAAGCTAAAAGTGGATTTCATAAGTTCCCTCAAAATGAAAGAATTAAACAGGAGAATTCAGTGTTTTGGGGGGGCGGAGGGGAGGGGGAGGGTAACTGCTGCAAGGTGCTTCATTCAAGTTCAGCAACCCATTGCATTTTCCTCTCGAGTCTAATTCGAAACAGCACCGTGAAGATATTGAAGTTTCGCGAAGAATAATTCATTCTCAAATTCATTGAGATGAGATTTTCGAGTTGGTATTGGGACGAAAACTCATAAAGAACTTGCAAAAATCAAAAATGAGCTTGTTTGTGCGTATGCGGTCACGAAGTTTTTACTTCATTCTATTTACTTGTATTATAAAAGCAATTTGAGTTAATTAGATGTAGCTGCGGAATGTCTTAGTTGTGAGTGCTTTGCCTCGAATTTCCGGCGGACGTCATGATGGCAGTGATGGGATGTAAATGCTGCCTATTGCTAAGTTTTGCTGTAACCAAATATCATCTAATATGTGTTTGCTGTCCGCTCTCCGCCAAAGTATTATATAGAATGCACTGCGTAGCTCTAATGTGGCAGTGCGACGGGGAGATTTGGGGGATTGAGTCCTCAGACTCTACGTGGCTTTTTTGGTTCGTTCGACTATTCTTGGTTAGCAAGGTGCGTGGGATTAGCTGGCCGCTTACAGTAATGGCAATAGAATCGGCGTTTGTTTTGAAGAGGTTGGGACGGCTTCGCTCGGCCTGGAAGAATGTGATTCTTTTTAATCAATTTGAACGGTTCCCAAGTCATGACTTTTTTCAATTCTTTCTTTCAATGTTCAGACCTGAGTATTCATTGCTGGTTTTACCGGTCATTATTGCGTGCGATACACCAATCGTGAGGACAGAAGTTTGACACGACCATACAAACAAAGCAGTTAAGGTATGATACCCAGCCCTTCGAGCAAGGAGAGAAAACTATTGAAACCCCACAATCCTGGAACTTCGCCTGTAAAAATATGTCAACCTCCGGTAGGTTCTTCATAATACTCGCAACTTTGCGTAATTTATTTCTTTCAATTATGAGCCCTTGGACCCTTTGACTACCCTATCTAATCTTTGGTTGTTAGGTGCGTTCTCCCCTGGTTACACCAACCGGAAAAGTACATTGGTGACAGCATTTATTCCGATTCGGAAACCGAACCAAGAGTGGACCACGCGATACAATGCCATAGTTTGTCCTGAACAAGAGGTTTGTTCGGGTTGCCTACTTTTACTTGTTATTTTCATTTGGTAAAACCTTCAAACTTACTATTTCAGTCGCCTGCTAGCTTTAAGCGTCCCACAGCAAACCGTACGCCGACAACGACTGCAAACGTGACTAATAATAATCAATAGGCCAGCCTCAAGTTCACCGAGTCAATTCAAAACCAGGGAATGCTGATTATTCTTTTATTCCTACTTTTGCCTCCGAAACTTCAGGTTTTTATAATGTGAAGAATTTTTCTCGGCAGCTTTGGTTGCGAGGGACTTATCAAGTCTATTTTGTAATATGTGAAATAGTTTTTAGATCTAAAAATCGTTTCCATTTAGACGGATTTTTACTGAAATGCCTCTCTCTAGTTGAAAGTATAGGGGGTGCGTACGTGGTCAGTAGAATTATTTCAGCAGTAACTGAACGGTTAATTAGGGTAGAAATAATACGTAGTTGGGTCGAAAAGGATTGCGATGGGAATAAATATAACTGCGGCGAGTGTGGACCGGGAGGAGATAATCTTTGCAAAATTTTGGGAAATCATTAAAATTGTTCACAAAAGTTAATGGTATAGAAAGGTGGCAATTTTTCCCATGGAGATTCAAAGGTAAAGAAGTACAGGATCACCCGTTCAAGTCCAGGATGACGGGAGTGGGATCAGAATCTCTCCTTGAACCCGATGGTAGATTTGAGAGGCTTCTCATCGGAAATTTGCTACGTTCAAAGGAAATGAGATTACACCACATTTTACATTATAGCATTTTTAACTGAAGGAACTCATGGCTTTCGTTAATGTTTTTACTTATATGATCCTTTGGGACAGTTTTTTCACAGCTTGAGATCGATCAGTTTTTGCAATTGATAAGCTGCCTTAAGTTTTTCTACCATTGTTTTTACCGAGAGCATAAATACCTTATCATGGTAAGGCAACTGTGATCGCTGCAAGCGTTATGTCTCTATGTGGTACTGACCCTCTTCTGTTTTGAATAACTTCAGACAAGGAAAATTGGTATCAAATATAATCTATTTCCAGAACACGAACAGTGAAGAATCGCGACAGGATCAAATGGTTGTACGAGCGTTGCTTCGCAATGAGTTGCTGCAGGATAGAATCGACGATATACGTGTAGGTTTCCTTCGTTTTTCTGCTCGAACACATGGAGGATAGCAAGCGTTCCGGGTTTTTTGGCTGCGTGGGACAAGGGCGATTTGGGGGCACGGCCGCCTCACATCGTATCCTCGGATTTTGAGTGTTGAATTACAAAATATAAATGCCACAAAATCGTTTCAGCAATGGTCAGTGCAAGGAAGTTTTCTGAGGTGGCAAAAGAATTTCGTCTAAAAGAATGTGGCATGAAAAAACGTCTCGTCCCATACGCGCGCTAAGCAAATGCGCTCGTCGTCAACCTATTAATGACAACAAAAAGAGACTGAATTGGAAATTCCGTTGTGCTTGAAAATTTCCTTAGGGCATATTTGAACAATCCGTGTGCTAAGTTGTTTCCGGTTGTAATTTGTAGAAAAATTTCAAAGTGAGCTGCGGATGCGTGAAAATAGTTGCTGGGCCCACAAGTCCCGCGCTGTACCACGTGGCCTGCAAAGTGTGTTCTTCAATGTCTCAGTGTTTAAAGAATCAGAAGCCCTTCGTTTAAATTATTGATCCACTGATCGCCTTTTTTGTTATGTATGAAATAGTTTTT